AATAATTATTAATATTTATAATTTAAAATATTTAATTTATTTAATTAAAATTAACATTTAATAATTATTTTCAATAAATTAAAACAATAGCACTTAAAAACTCCCAGTCATTTCAGTGAGCCCGAATAGATAGAATCAATAACACCTTTCTCGCCTCCCCGGGTCCTGCCTGCACCGTATATAGCCTTCCTTTCTTTTTGTGATCGTCTCAATATAAACCTCTCTAGTTTCGGTATCTCTCACCGAATGCTTTACTCATCCTAACTAGAGAAAGTCATGGACAGCCTTACACTCACCGGATTGCTGAACCATGTCGCTGGAGAATTTCCCAGCCGGCGAGCGATATCTGTTTCGAGAAAATTCGATGTAACTCATTCTCGCCTTCGTGAACTCGTCGACTCCGCCGCTTCTCGGCTTCTCGCGTCTGGAATCGGCGCCGGTGATGTTGTCGCACTCACCTTCCCCAACACCGTCGAGGTAATTTCCCTGCTTTGTTTCTTTCTTTAATGATTTTTTAAATCTTTTTTTTTATATAATTATTTCTTGTTTGGTTTTCGAGAAACAGAGATAAGGAGAGAGAAAATCCGAAAATGGAATATGCTAGTATTTTTTTAATTTTTATCCTTGTTATATTTAATTCTTTTTTATTCCAGTTTGTGATAATGTTTTTGGCGGTAATCCGGGCTCGAGCAACGGCGGCGCCGCTGAACCCAGCCTACACCGTCGACGAGTTTGAGTTTTACCTATCCGATTCAGAGTCGAAGCTTTTATTAACTTCTAACGGCGGCAACACCTCCGCTCAAGCGGCAGCTTCCAAGCTCAACATCCTGCACGCCACCGCAGCGCTTCCCGGTGCCGATTCTGAGCTCGCGCTCTCTCTAACTCATTCCGCTTCGGGAACAAATTTGGTCGGCGAAATTACAAACGACCCATCGGACGTTGCACTCTTCCTCCATACTTCGGGGACGACGAGTCGGCCCAAAGGCGTGCCACTGACTCAGTTGAATTTAGTCTCTTCGGTTAAGAATATCAAATCGGCTTACAAACTCACTGAGTCCGACTCAACCGTGTTGGTCCTCCCTCTGTTTCACGTTCACGGCTTGATGGCGGGCTTGCTGAGTCCACTCGGTGTGGGAGCTGCCGTGGCTCTCCCAGCAGCCGGAAGATTCTCGGCTTCAACATTTTGGAAGGACATGAACCAATACAACGCCACGTGGTATACTGCTGTCCCTACGATACACCAGATCATACTGGATCGCCACTCGGGTAACCCAGAACCCGTTTACCCGAAGCTCCGATTCATCAGGAGCTGTAGTGCGTCTCTAGCTCCGGCTATATCAGCTCGGCTGGAGGAAGCGTTTGGCGCACCAGTGTTGGAGGCTTATGCAATGACGGAGGCAACCCATTTGATCACTTCAAACCCGTTACCCGTAGACGGCTCACGTAAACCCGGATCGGTTGGGAGACCCGTGGGTCAAGAGATGGTAATTTTGGTTGGAAATGGTATACAACAAGAGGGTAGTGCTAGTGGCGAAGTGTGTATTAGAGGACCTAATGTGACTATGGGCTATAAAAATAACCCGGAGGCAAATAAATCCGCCTTTCAATTCGGGTGGTTCCATACCGGGGATATCGGGTATTTTGATTCAGATGGGTATTTGTACCTTGTAGGTCGGATCAAGGAGCTTATCAACCGTGGAGGTAAGATTTCACCCTTTCTTACTACGCAATTGACATTAAGTGGCATCACTATCTTACTAATTAATCTTTCTTTCTCAAATACTATAATTATAATATTATATAAAATTATAAAATTATAATTATGATCTATCATTAAATAAGTATGATGTATGCACTTGCGGCCTTAGTCACGATAGCAGTGCACCTATGCCCTTGGCTTCTTTGTTAAGGGTTCAAACTGTCTATGCAGCATTAGTGTAACTATTCTCCTATCCCTCAATTTCCCATTGGTCAAAAATTAATAATAATAATAGTAAGTATGATGTATTATTAAATAATTAAATATATATACATTATCATAGTGGTTAAATGAAAAAAATCAAAATGAAAAGATTTAGAATTTGAATTGTATAATATACGGGTGCGAAAAGATAAGAAATAGAAAATAATTAACTTTTATTGTGCAACCAAGAAAAAAAAAAGTAAATTATATAAGAATACATTATAATGATCAATATATATGTGCATAGATAAAGAGAGTTATACATATATATATATATATATATATACAACTTTTTAGAGCAAAAACGGTGAGCCATGTCTAGGTTTTGGGAAAAATTCAAGTTTATCTTATCAAGGTTAGCCCTTGGCATGCACTTGGACTAGTAGATCCTTCCTAGGCAACCAAAATGTGTATGCTGTACCTTTTTTTTCAGAAATATGAGAATTATCTTGCTGTATGGAGCTTTACAAATATTCATTTTCTGTAATGGGTTAATTGAGTTGGAGTACGTCAATTTGAGATTATTTATTTAAATTTGAGTTACAATGAGTATGATTAAAACATAGAATATTGTATTTTTTTATTTTTAATAATTTTAGTTTAAATTTTTAATTTTTCATATATAAAATGTACATGAAAATTTATCATATAATATAAATAATAATTAAAAATTACTTTAATTAAATAAAATTATTTAACAAAAATTTTATATGAAAAATTTTAATTATTATTTATATAAATTATTAAATTTTTATATAAAATTTATATATAAAAAAATCATAATATCAAATTAAAATTTTAAAAAAATTATGATAAGTTAGAGGCTAGTTGTCTTCCACACTCAATTACCCCCTATAGATGTTTGACATTTGTCATGCGTGTGACCTTTGGTTGAGGTAACGAATTCACCCGCGGCCCCACGCGTTAGAGTTTAATTTATCATGTCGCAATCAAAATCCTTTGGTTGAGAAATATATATACGTTATCATAGTAAAAGTTAAATGAAAAAAATCAGAATTAAGAGATTTTAAATTTCAATCATATAATATACGGATATGATAAAATAAAAAATAAGAAATAAAAAATAATTAATTTTTATTGTATAATTAAAAAAATAAATAAATTATATAAAAACACATTATAATGATCAATATATATGTGTTAATGATCAATATATATGTGTACAGATAAAGAAAGTTATACATATATATTATATTTTAAGTTTTTAATACTATGTAGTATTGTAATTATATTATCTTCATATTTTTTGTTAGTGAAGATATAATTTTTCTTCTTTTTGACTTTAGGTGAGAAAATATCACCAATCGAAGTGGATGCAATCCTTTTATCTCATCCAGACATCTCAGAAGCAGTCTCTTTCGGAGTCACTGACGACAAATATGGTGAAGAGGTAAGATTAAGAGCAACCGTTGTTACAAACAAAAAGATAATATTTCATTTCTTTTCTAAATTCTACGTTTGATCACTTTGAATTCTCCCTTCTCAACTAAACACCATCAAAGGAATATTCGGTTTGAAGGATAGATATTGATTCAAAAACGAACGGCATATAATGGTGAAGAGACCCCACCGTGAAAGATATGTGCACATCAGAAAGCGCTTAATGAGAACAGAATTACTTTGCAATTAATGGGATATAGAAAGCAAAAAATTTATGTCAAAGAACCTTCTCCGTTGGTTTAGTAGTTGATTGCGCAGCTTCTCTAAATTTCTCTGTATTTATTTTGGGCAGATAAACTGTGCTATAATTCCAAGGGAAGGGTCGGTCATTGATGAAGCAGAGGTGCTGAGGTTTTGTAGGAAAAACCTTACAGCATTCAAAGTCCCTAAGAAAGTATTCATCACCGATTCTTTCCCAAAGACGGCCAGTGGGAAAATCCAGCGGCGGATCGTGGCCGAGCATTTTCTTGCCCAGATCTCCGCCGCTAAAGTCCCCAAGTTTGGAGCCTAGACAAAATGGTATGTTAAATATTCATCATATTTTGTTGTATGTACATGGATGATTGGGTAAAACTCTATTCTTTGTGTTATCTTATTATTCCCGATGTAGTAAAATGGGTTTTACATAATTATATTCTATTCTCTAGAGCATTTTAATTATGAATCTGTTTTTATTTTTATTTTAATTTTAGATTGTATAATAAAAAATAATTATTTTTCACTTTTTAATTTACCACATTTACATATTAAATTATTTAAATTTAAAATCTTTTATTTTTATATTAAAAAAATTACAACTATTTAGGTCATTGCTAGTATCTAGTTTTGATGGGAAGAAAATTGAAAATATAACTACATTTTTTTGGATAGAATGTAAAGATTAAAGATAAATCGATAACCCACGACGAAAAACGTTAACTGTCACTAAATCCCATATTTGCATGACTGATGATTATGAAATGAACTCCTATATGCATCTTGTACAATTTTTTTTTTTTAATTTTAGGTTAACATATTTAAAAATTTTTATTTTCAGTTAACACTTTTTATAATTTAAAATTTATAAAAAAAATTTTAAAATTAACCATCAAATCCTCATTTATTCCTTAATTTTATTAGCAATTTAGAGTTTTTTTTTTTGTAAAATTTAAATTACAAAAAATTTTGACTGAATATAAAAAGTATTAACAGTAAAAAAAATAACATACAAGGTACAAAGTACAAATAAAAAATGTGACCAAAATGATACTAGTTTGAATAAGTCATAATTCATTTACCAATATATATATATATATGAAAAGTGCACATCAGTTTTTATTCTAAAAATAATTAGAGTTTCAATTTTAAATAATTTCATTTTATTTAATTAAAACTCAATCTAAAATTTAAAAATTTATCTTATTAAATATTAATATTTAGATTTGAAAACGGATAAAATTTTCAAATTTTAAATTAGAATTTCAATTTATAAATATAGATTAAAATTCTAATTTTTTTAAAATATCAAGATTGATATTCACTAACTTCATATATATATATATATACACATGCAATTTATTTTTCAATCATTATCAACAAATGTTGTTAATGATTAATCCTTGTTTGTTCATATTACTGCCCATGAAATGAATTATTTGAATATAAATGATCTTTTTATTGAAGACATAGTTGAAAACTTTTTATACCGGAAATAGATATAAGACCATTAGATGAGAAGACAACCTCCAACATCAATGATCTGTCCACCCCTCATCCAATAATTTATTTTGTAAACATAAATACTTGTTTTTGTCAAAAATGTATTACTGAGTAGTTCGTGATTCTGAAATCTAAACTAATCCAATGAATGTCACTAGATGACATGGAAACCCACATTCAGGAAAAAAGCCAACAAATACAGAATGCGATATCTGCCACAAAGTTGATACAACCACAGCATTTCGTGAGGACACCTATGGAAGCACAAAGTGAATGCAAGTTGTTTCTACGATCAAGCCAAAATCAAGAAAACAAGCAATACAACCATGCAGAATGATTAAACATAATCGTTCCATATCTAAACCATAGGCATTTAGTATCTATACTGACGATAAACATGATTGCAAAGCATAATCTCTAAAGCATTACAATAAGCAGAGGAAAAAAGATGGGCCAGGGAACAGGCCACACGATCATGATCCAAACACCCAAGTATTCAGATAAAAAGAAAGTAACACTTAATTCCACAACAATCAACAACAAACAAAAAGCTGTTTTAAACATGCAAAAATCAGGCTTCCTCCTGAATTTCCTCCTCATCTTCATAATCATACCCTTCCTCATCAGCTGTTGCATCCTGGTATTGTTGGTACTCAGAAACCAGATCATTCATGTTGCTCTCTGCCTCAGTGAACTCCATTTCATCCATCCCTTCCCCTGTGTACCAGTGCAAGAAGGCCTTCCTGCGGAACATAGCTGTAAACTGCTCACTCACCCTTCGGAACATCTCTTGGATTGAAGTTGAGTTGCCAATGAAAGTTGAGGCCATCTTCAACCCAGTTGGGGGGATATCACAAACAGTAGACTTTACATTGTTGGGAATCCACTCAACAAAGTATGATGAGTTCTTGTTCTGCACATTTATCATCTGCTCATCAACCTCCTTTGTGCTCATCTTGCCACGGAACATGGCAGAGGCTGTCAAGTATCGACCATGACGAGGATCAGCAGCACACATCATGTTCTTGGCATCCCACATCTGCTGAGTGAGCTCAGGAACAGTAAGTGCCCTGTATTGCTGGGACCCACGAGATGTGAGTGGAGCAAAGCCAACCATGAAGAAGTGCAAACGAGGGAATGGGATCAAATTAACAGCAAGCTTGCGAAGATCTGAGTTGAGTTGACCAGGGAAACGCAGGCAGCAGGTAACCCCACTCATGGTGGCAGATATGAGGTGATTGAGGTCTCCAACTGTGTTAAAAAAAAGAACATGTGGTCCAAGTTGTTAGATAAAGCAGAATTACTGTACAAGATTTTCCATCCATATAAAAACTGAATTTAATATAATTCATATCATACAAATGATTATAGAATAAGCAAATTCATATCATGCATGTGAGATAATTATGATTTTACACATCATGTCAGGTGAGGTTACTGTTAATAATCTATTGCTGTACAATTAGCTGTTAACCAAACTTTTACCAGCCCAAACTACTTAAAGCATACAAATGATTATAGAAAACGCAAATTATACCAAACCTACCAAAATAATTACTTCCAAAGGAATAATCTCAGTTTTTCTAAAGTAGTTTACCAAATAACCAGAATCTCATAAGACAGTCAGAACTATACAACAATAGAAGTAGATACAGCTAGATGCTGCAAACCAACTTATGTCAGATTAGTGCATGTGAATCTATATGAGCAGAAGTATAACAAACATAACATAGCTAGCCCAAAACAGGACTTTCCATGTTAAATTCAAAACCCAGAGTTGGTGTCACATAACAGAATCTGAGACAAACGTTCTCAAAGCAAGAAAGAATATAGGACCGTAATTATATCGGCATTAAGTGCACAGCAATAGATTATTAACGAAACCTCACCTGCCACGATGCATAAAATCATATCATTCCATATGCATCTTTTGGGAAAATGGAACACCCAACTTTAAGAAAACAATGAACACAGCACAATAATCATTAGCACAGTCAAAGTAGGTATTAACTTACAGCTTGGAGTAGTGAGCTTGAGAGTTCGGAAGCAAATATCATAGAGAGCTTCATTGTCCAAAACCATACATTCATCAGCATTCTCAACAAGCTGGTGAACTGAGAGTGTAGCATTGTATGGTTCAACAACAGTGTCAGACACCTTTGGGGATGGGAAAACAGAGAATGTGAGCATCATTCTGTCTGGATACTCTTCTCTGATTTTGGAAATGAGCAGTGTTCCCATGCCTGACCCAGTTCCACCTCCCAAAGAGTGACAGACCTGAAACCCTGATAAATTTTGAAACAAAATACACATTAGACGTTTCAACATTAATCCACAACAATACAGCAGAAACCACTACGAATATGAAAATGAGAGAAAAGAAAATCCAAGCAAGACATATCTGCGACACCTCAAGAGAGGAAAACAAACTGAATCCAGGAAAGCAAGATTCAATTTGTACCCAGACACCAGAATTTTTTTGTAACATTTCATTATTTTTTGAAAGCAATCTCACTAAACAAAATATGAGCTAAACCGACATGTTAGCTCAGAAAATTATCTGTATACATTACCCTTTTCGGCAACCAAAAACGGATTCTTCCATTTTAACATAAAATAAATACTGGAACTTATATAATAAACATCCAAATTCACTGAAGAAACAATAACTCATTATCTCATTCCTGAAACCAAAATGTCTGGTTCAGGAGCACAAAACGCACAAACAGCCTAACAAACCACAGCAGCTGGTCAACGCGAAATGGGAAAACCACTGGAAAACACTAGATGTTATGGAAGTCTGAAGTCACAACAAACAACAGAAATCCCTAAAAGTTTTCAGATCCATAGGTAATAAAAAAGAGCACCATCATCCCAAACAGATTTCTTAACCAAAATTTACCCAAAAATGCTTCCAGAAGCAAATACTAATACCAGTTAATATCTGCTGTCTGTCAACCGAAGAACTAACCGAATATCAATTTCCAGAAAAAAAAAAAAAATCAGAAAACACCAAGAGGACTGAGAACAGATTACCTTGCAAACAGTCACAGTTCTCAGCCTCCTTGCGCACCACATCAAGGACGGAGTCAATCAACTCGGCTCCCTCAGTGTAGTGCCCTTTCGCCCAGTTATTACCGGCGCCGGACTGCCCAAAAACGAAGTTGTCCGGCCGGAATATCTGCCCGTACGGCCCGGACCTAACACTGTCCATGGTCCCAGGCTCCAGATCCATAAGCACCGCACGCGGCACAAACCTACCGCAACTGGCCTCATTGTAGTAGACATTAACGCGCTCAAGTTGCAGATCGTTGTCCCCCTGGTACCGGCCTGTGGAATCGATGCCGTGCTCGGCACAAACCACCTCCCAGAACTTGGCTCCGATCTGGTTGCCGCATTGACCTCCCTGAATATGAAGAATCTCACGCATCTTCGCGGAACTGAGCTTCTGATTTCTGAACTGACTGAGGTTTTGAGTGAGGGAGAAGTTTTCAGGGCGAGAAACAGGGGGCCGTGGAGATGGGGAAGAGGGTGTGGGGGGATTTTATAGGGGAGGTGACGGAATATGGGTTTCCGTTAGATTTGACGGGCGAAGTGACGGCTCCTTACGTTTAAGAGGGAATTTTAATTTTGAATTGGTAAAACCTTGGGATTTTGGTCGTCGGAGGATACCTATTTGGCGCGGTTGGGCGGGGGCCGTTTGACGCGCGCTTAATGGGAGTGAGATGACGCGCTGGTGGGCGGGGCCCGGGGGGCAGTGGGGTGGATTGTGGATAAATTAAAAAAAATAAGAAAATGAAAAGTGGCGCTGTGCCTGTGAGGTGTTTGTTATCCGTGCGCGTAATGGTGGATTGGTGGCGTAAAGGGTACGGTGCACGTGATTTGGGAGGAGTAACACGTGAGAAGCACTGTATCAAAAAGAAACCGGTTGGCAAGGCAGCGTTTGGCTTTTTTTCAATTCTTTTTCTTTTTTCCCTTACATTAGGGCTGTTTGGTTGAGTAAAATAAAAATAATCAATACTATACTATTATACATATTGGTTTTACTATTGAAATGGTATATATTAGAGACTAAAATGTTTGCATACAATTTCAAATTTATCGTTATAAATATATATTTTTGTAAATTAAATATTAAATTTTAAAATAAAAAACAAAAATTAAATGGAAAATAACCAAAGGATTACACAACGAAAATTAAATTGGAAATAATAGGACAAGCCTCTTAATTAAATCATTAAACTATAATCGTATAAAATGAAAAATGCAAATTTTTTGCAATCACAAAATGGTTAAACCAGTTATACATCTACATATTGGATCTTTGTGGCCCTGTACACATCAATTGGGGGAGAATCGGTGAAGGTAATTAAAGAAGATTAGAATAAGACTGCTCAATGCTCTCTAATCTTAAACTTTCGACCAAGGAAGAATTGGAAATGGGGAATCAAGAGGGATAATTAGAAAAGGGGTCATTGATCTTCACTTACTAATGAAATCAATAGCATCAAAAGGTTAGATTGAGATTGAAACTAATCTCGCTAAGTTGAATATCAAGAGAAAAAGCAAGAGGAAAAAGGAATGAAAATGCAAAGCAAACAAAATAGCTAAGAGATAGAGCTAGAGAATGGTGAAGAGATATGAATCAAGATTCAAAATCTAGGGGCTCGCAAAGCAAGAAATGGAAAGAGAGAATAGTGGCAGCAAAGCATCCATCGGTGAGGATGAAGTGAGGAAGGAAAACTGCAAATCTGAAATTACAAATGTAAAGATTTAAGAAACCCCTAACCAAAATGATGTCGTTTTTATTGGATTCTTTTTTCTTTTTTTTTTTTTTAATTTGAACATAATGCATACTAGTTAAATTTCAATGTATTGGTCGGCAAAATATCGACCGATACACTAAAATTTGATCAAAATACTTGAAATTTGATTAAAACAAAATTTAAATTTATACTATTCCGAATTACTTGAAAAATCAATATGTACTAACCATATCAGTTGATACAAAACACTATTGACTTTTTTAGTTCCCATGACTGTACCTGTATTGTTGTAAGTCAAATTATGTTGCTTATGTTTAGTATTCAAATAGTTTTAGAAAGTTATTTGACACTTGAAACTTTATCCACTTTTGTCTTAAAAACACTTTTTAGATAGAAATCTGAAAACAAAACTCCCCAAATAAGTGGTTGGATGAGGGATTATAAAAAGCCAAGACTACCCTTTGAATCATTTGTATAGAGGACTTGAAATGACAAAAATGGTGCTGCAACAATTTTGGAAAAGTTTAATAATCAATTAATTTTTTGCTATAATGACTTACTTTATTATTGATAATTAACTATTCAATATTTATAATCAAGTATAATAACCCATTACCAAAAAAATAACTTAATTTTCTATTATAATTGATTATTATTGAAAGATAACCAATTACTCACTAAATTTATCAAATGAATGTTATAAGCAATTATAATTCACAATTATTAAGTAATTATATATTGAAAATTATAACCAATTATATCTTCTCTATTATATAATTGATTATGTGATAATTTTTACTTCAATATTCCCGTAGTGTTTTTTTCAAGTAACCAAACATAAGATTTTAAGAATACAGGACAAGTTTACAAGCTACCAAACACAAAAATGTTACTTTTCTAGGTATAAATATTCAGTGAAAATATTTCTTGGTGAAGTTTTTCTACCAGGTAAAATTTGCATAAACAACCAACCTAATAGGCCCTAGGAGTTACCTACTTGATTATAAAGACCCTGGCGCCTCTTTCTTTTTCTTATTTTCCATAGCCACCGCCCCCTCTCTTCTTTTCTTCTTAGCCACTGCCCTCCTCTTTGATGACTAGAAATGATAAATAAAAGTAGGAGTTTCCTTTTCTATAAGAGCTCTCTTTTTTGTAAGAATTTTTCTCATTTTTATTTTAAAAAATAAATTTAAATTAGTCCATCAACAGTCAAGTGCTAGGTGCACTTGGTTCCAACTACTAGTAACCCTAAAAATATTATCCTTAAGTATTTAAATTATTCCCTAAATAATTGTTATTATTGATCATACATCATGTTTCCCGAGTAGCAAATTGTTATTATTAGACTTGAATTCCAAACCTATTAATATAATTTATTTATCTGCCACAACTATAAATATAATAGTAGCATAATTTAGCCTAAATGTTTGAAAGGGACCCTAATGGCCCAAACAGGTTCGAAGTTGTCATCCCCCTTTTATCATTGTTCCTGAAAGAGAAAGATACAGTGACGAGTGGAAGGAATATTACGCCTGGAAAATGTAGCAGACCAAACGTGGCCTTTACTCAAAAACGACAACAGGAAAGAGGAAACCGAAATGAGAAGAATCCATCCATCATCCAATTCCAAGGTGAACAAAAAGAGAAGCAATGTAGGCATCAAGCAAGAGTAGACGTTGTGATCTGATCCATAATAAGACCCTTTGAGACAAAGCTAACAACAGCAGCTGTTTTGGATTGATGGGTCCGACCCACAATTAATCACAATCATCTTGGGATGAACGGACCTGAGATGCTTTAATGAGTAAAAATGAAAAAAAATCAACCCATTACTGCATGCATTTGCATTGCATCAGATTTTTTTTTTTGGTAGTATGAATCAAACAATTCATGATGCATTAATGATGCTGTTAGGTTTTTCATTAAGATTCGTTTTTGATGTAATGTGGAATCTGTGGTAATTTGGGTTGAAATCAATGTACAAAAATTTCGTGCTGTTTGGTTGGTCACCTTTTTAGAAAAAGAACTTAGAAAAGATGATTAATATTACATATGATTTAGCTTTAAAATTTTAATTTCTTAATAGTAAATTGAAGTATTAGATAATTGGTTATAACAGGAAAGGTAATGCATTATATTGTCGTTTTTTCAAGAAAAGTGTTTTTTTTTTTTGGAGGTTTTTTATAAGAAAGGTAAACATAACCAATTATAAAGAATAAATAATTAATTATATTAATATAGTTACTTATTTCTCCAAAATAATTAATTATATTGTAAACATAATGCATTATCTTTTTTTTTTTTCATAAACAATTATATTGTGCCTCAATTTGCTTGTCAGGAAATTAATTTCTTAAGTTAAATAGTGTGTAATATTAATTAGTCAATTTTTCCAAATTCTTTCTCTAAAAAAGTGCCCAACCAAATAAACCCTTCATGCTTATAGGGTGTTCTTGGTTGGTATTATTTCTCGAAAAATGGCTGGAAATAACAGAATCCAGAAACAATTGGTATTGTTCGAGCATTTCCATTTTCCACGTAAATGACGACAACCTTAGAGCATCTCCATTGAGGCAAATGCCACATTATTATAATAATGCATATTATTTTATTAAAAAAATATTTATCAATTATATCAATAAAAAATAAGAAAAAAAACTTTAAATTATGTTATTTTAATAAATTATTATTAAAAATATTAAAATATTTTATTTTTTAAAATAAAAATGAAACTGTTTTAATTTTTTTCATACTTTATTGAAATAAAGTATTTTCAATTATTTTTACTTAATTTTTTTTTATAGATTTAGTTAATAAAAACTAATCTCTTATTTTATTTAACATGCATTTAAAAACTTTAAGGAGGCTCTCCTAAACACACACAGAAAAAGGGTAACTCTTCTTTACAATGAAAAAACATGTATCTAAAAACTTTAAGGAGGCCCTCCTAAACACACACACAAGACTCTTCTCTACAATGAAAAAACTCAAGTAGGACCCTTCAAAAATTTTATCAATATTATTTTATTTAACCTACAATTATATTAAAAACAATTCCGCATAAAAAATATATTTTTTAAAGTAAAAAAAAAAAAAAAGGGGGGGAAGTTGGGGATACCCTCCCCAATGGGGCACGGCATCCCCTTGCTAGGTATCCCATGGTGATACCCATTGGAGATGGCCATTGAAGAAATTCAAGCCTAATCAGACGATGCCTTTCTGAATTTGGATAAAAATCTTCTCCCAAGAAGTGCCGACTTCAAGTAACTAAATTTTTGTCTAGTTGACTAAACTAAACATAGTCGACCAAACACAAGGATATTCCTAAATTTCCTGATAATCATACCAAATAGAAACAACTCTTCCCCAGTTTTTCAACTAGCAGTTTTCACCCGCAAATCATTTCTGCGCAACAATAATCTTCGAGCAGTAACCAAATGGGTCCTTAGAGCTCAATTTTGCATGCTCTCCAAGCATTATTTGTCTCACAAAAATGTAAAAATTTTAATCATTAAACACTTCAGTTATATGGTCTATTTTTTATTCCAAAACTGGAATTAGGTTCAGAGTCTGAAAAGAAAAAAACCTTTTTCTTGGGGGGCCTAGAATTAGTAGCATCAAAATTCAAAACAACTAAAGCAGAAGGTGTTTCACCAAACAAATCGACTTTCAAGAGAATAAACTTGGACACATCACATTATTACATCTTTTGTTAATCATTCACCTCAAGGTTTCAATGCTTAAGACACTGAAAATTTGATAGGTAATGATCAGATGCCAATGATTAGCAATCTCAGAAAGGTAAATTCATTCCAATAAGGTGTAGACCAAGCAGGGTGAAACATAGAAAAATATATTAAGATTGGTTACATGGAAAAAGAATTGAATTCCTGTTGAAGTAACATTCAGGTGGAAAAAACCTTCAGTTCTATAGAACAAATTCTGGAATTTAGGATCATTTCTCAGCATGGATTACAACTAGCACTATTGAAATTAATCAACAAAGAGTTTCTTACCCAACAAAATTGACAACTTTAGGCCCCTGTTTCTTTGATTTTACATTTTTATCTTTTGATGCAGAATCTTCTACCATGAAGTCATCATCAAGATCATCCCCGCTTGTGAATTTGGTAATCTGTCCTCTTGGTATATCCTCAATTTTAAATGCTGAAAACAGAAAATCAATAAAAGAAAAAGATTTTAGTAAGAACCAAAAAAAAAGAAAAGGAGAAAGTGAAGAGGGTTATTCATTCAACCACATAACTGTGGTACATTCATTGCATATAGGCAACATGAAGAATGCTTGGCAGGAACGTCTCATAATATTATACCATACCAGCAAGAAGCAACTTGACAATATAACAGGAAAGCAGCTATATTTTTGTCATTTCTTTATTCAGATAACACTCAGTGACAGTAACATCATCATCTAATTCTTCAGACTACTATTTATTGGAATCTGTGTCATATAAATATATGAAGGTTGCTCAATTAAGGCTATATATCATTTCTTTGCCAATAACACATCAAGAATGTGGGCTTCAAGTGAATCGAGACTGCTCTTCCATCCTAATCATTTTGAACCCAATTTTGAGTCTTTAAAGTGAAATAACAACAAAATTTTCCCCCCAAGAGGTGTCTCAACTTGTAAGAATTTGAGCCTTCATGTTGGATGTCTTTGGTTCAAACCTTGAGACAGGATGGGGGGTGAATTTGGAAAAGAGGAAGGCTATCTCCTATGTATAGGCCATCATCAGCTGTATTGAAAAATAGAAAATATAATTTCTTCTAATTGAACCAAATGTCGTATCTTCTAATTGATAATAAGAAAAAAAATTCAAGCACTCCTGCTGTTATCAAAAGATTTGTTTGTTGCTAATTGCTATACAGCTTGAAAATGAAACAAAAAGCAAATTTAATCCAACAATGTGAGATTATTCACCTAACAGTAATAATCTCATTAAGCTAAGATAATATTTTAGCATCTTTTTTCCATTTTACCTTTTCATCTAATACCAAAATACTAAGATGTACTGCCTCAAATAAAACTGGTTACCATACTTTCAGTGGAGGGTATTCTTGCCAATACCATCGTCAATAATGACAAAGCCATAATATGTGATTTAGTGCTCATAGGCCCCAAAACATTCACTTCCATGACCTTCCCAAACAGAGGAGTAGAAGTAAAGTAAAGGAATACCTAGCAGAAGCCAAACCATGAAATGATGTTCATGAAAAATAATGTAGATAACTCCATTTTGAGAATAACTGGCCCTATCTCAGTACGACTTGTCTAATGCTACCTTCTATCAACTTTCAAACACATATTAGCCAATACAAACCAAAGATATGATTTGTGGGTTAGACTCATCTTTCCTAACAATTATTCCTAATCACCATAGCCTGAAAATTTATTTTGTATTGAGCAATTGAAAAACGCTTATTTTGCAACAGCAATACTGATAAAGATCATCAGGATACACCTTGGCTTTAGTTGGGGAAAAGGCAAAACCTAGTCATTTACAGTTGGGGTAAACCTTGACATTGGTAGTTAGTGAGAAATAAGCTTACATGTATTACCTTCTTTGCTAGCTACAGCAGAACCTTTGTTGCCTTTATTAGGGCAATCTTTAGCCAAATGAGTTACACCACTGCATATTTTACAACCACCTCCCTATATGAGAAAGAGACGAAAAGCATATCAAGATGATATTTTCAATAAAGATGAGAGTCCAGCATCGACATAATCTAAAAACTATCATCAATAATGAAGATCAAATATACCTTTGGATATATCCCATGTGTATTTTGGGAGCAGTTCTTGCTCAAATGCCCATGTTCATTACAGATAAAGCATTTAGCAAATTTAGTTCCCCCTACAATAGAAAAACATAAAAATCATCATCACCGAAAACAAAATGATGGGGACTCAAACACACTGATGTACGAGTAGACCGTTGCAAACTTGCAAAAAGTTTTTTTTTCCTATGATTTTGGTTATAGAGGCGTGCATTATAGATGACAAGAAAGTAAGGGTTGTCCAAGATAGTTTTCTACAAATACAGACAGATGCTAGCGGGAAAGACATAGAAAGATTTTAGTCTGATAAGTTCTTCAGTAAATTTTCACCAAATTCTTATCTGAACTTTCAAAACATTGAAGATATGGCACATCTACAATTTAATTGTAAGATAGCCAATTCCAAAACCCAAATTTCCAAGTTTGAGCTATATCCTATAAAGATATTAAGACAGTAAGTATGAGAGAAGTAAAAAAAATAAAATACAAGGACACTTCAAAAAAACTTATTGAGGCCATTTTACAGTCAGACAATCCAATACAGCATCACGTTTTTCCAGAATAAAAAAGTTATGATACCTTATACGCAATATCACCACACACACAAACCACAACAAACTTTGCACCAACTGGGGCTATATGTTTTTTTATAAGAAAACTACATAGACATTCATAGAACTGTATTAGAGCATTCTTAGTTAAATTAAGAAGTCAAATACCATTTTGAAGAGGTTGGGGACATTTTGCAAGTGAATGTCCAGTTTCTCCACAGTTGTAACATAACTTTTTATCCATGGTCTCATCATTCTTGTTGGGACAGTTTTTGAGACTATGCCCACGATGCCGGCAAAGCAAACATATCTGAAAGCATCAGAGAAGAAACAAAAACACTGTATTCAGCTCTCTCCACAAAAGTAAACAACCAACAAATACAATCTCCAACTTCCAATAATTTTCAAATGCAACAACATCATCTGAAATAACAAAGCAGTGTCAAAGTTCAAGCAGAATCAACATTATGCTACGGTTCAGGAAATACAGACCCCACAAAGCATACAGCTAAATACTCATTAACCCGTCGTTTAAATTACCATAATACCGTCAATAACAAAATTCAGTAGCAATTAACTTGACGAATGCAATAACATAGGCATAGAAATCTTAAAATTCGAGTACAAAACAAACCTTGTTCCTTTCCCATTGAGCTTTCTGCGGACAATGCTTGGCAATATGGTCCTTGGCTTTGCATATGAAACAACTCTCACCAGGCTTCATGCCAGGGACCCGAAGTGGGTGTTTTTTGAGACCCTTTTTAATGCGTTTACTGGGGTCTTTAGGTTCTTTAGATTCTGCCTTTTTTCGCTTGAACTTGCTCTTCTTTTTCTCCTTCTTCTCATTTGGGTCTTTTGGCTCTGGTTTTGGAAACAATTCTGGGTGCTCATCTTTATACCTCTTCCGAGCTAATTTCTGCCTTCTGCTCACCATACTGAGTCCGAGTGAAGCTTTGAGTAATGGATTGTCCGCAGGTAGAAAACAATCGAAGCGGAGACACAGGGGTTTTCCGGTGAAAGAGGGCAGCTTTGTCGAAATGGAAGCAACGCTACATAAGGGTTTAGGGCCTTTAGGCGGAGGGACGAGGGGACAACAGGCAGTCCGTCCTGACCTTCAATTCTCCGAATATGTGCAAAATGTTATTGGCTGGGCAGTTGAAACATATACGGGCTCTTCCTTTTTTGAATCATATGGACTAGATGGCCGAAAACCATATGGGCTCCCTTTTAAAATTGCATTAATCCAATCCAATTATAGATAGGCCAAGATTAATACAAACCCAATATCAAAGCCCAAAATTTTTTTTTTTTTAGCCCTTTGTGGTAATTCTTGTTGTTTCGGTAGGAAATGATATAAGCTAAGTTTAGTTGGGTTATTAAGAACCAATGTAGTTATGAATTGATGATTAATAGTTGATAAAATAGTTAATAATTGTAATTGGTTAGTTGATAATCTAACCTTTTAACGTAATTTTCTTTTTATCTGTTTCCTTAAGCTTAATATAAGTAAGGATATTTCTAACATATATTCTAAGAGTATATGTTAAAGTTTTATTTATTACATGTTTTTATCATTAATTTGTATAGAAAATTACAAAAATAAACTTTATTTTCAACATTAATGTTATATGAAACATTTTAATTGGATGATTGACAAAACTTAAGTTAGCTTTTATCTTTTCCATACAAATTAATGATGAAAGTATACAATAATTATACTTTTAACTTATATTTTTAAAATAAAAGTTAAAAAATTCCTATAAATAAATACATAACAGTTTTTCTAACTTAAACTTTTAGGAAATATGCTAAAAATACATTTATTGTAGCTATTTATAATTAATTTGTATTGAAAAATTAAAAAGTAATTTTAATTTTATCATTCATTTAGTTAAAAGTGTACATATGAAATTAGTGACAAATAAATAAAGTTAGCCAATGTAATTTCCTATAAAAATTAAATATTAAAATGTGTTATTAATACATTTTTATTTATGTGCCTTTAAAGCAAATTAAACAAACTTATATAAATAAATTATTCTTTAATTCTTAATATGTGAAAAAAAATTTTAAAAGAACCATTATTTGAAAGAGAGTAATGCTAATTAATTAGGTAACCATTATAAAGAGAAGCCAAAGAGGTGATTAAATAACAACCAACATGAAATTGTTTTGTTGTGGACATGATTCGTTATTTCCCTCAAAATTCTCTTGTTTCCCCGCATTCCTCTCGGCTACCCACATTTGAGGATCTCTTCTCTATCTTATTCTATCCTCCATTCCCCTCCCTTGCATTTTCCTCTTTCTTGTTCTTCTTCTTCCTCTTTCATTCCTCTCCAAAACTTTTCTCTCCATAATTTGACGAGAACATGGTACATTCTTTCTCTCTCTATTAGAGCATGTACAATGCATGCTCTGCTTGATATTCTTTTACAAACATGGAACAAAGCATGCCACGTCTTCCATTGGAGCAAAATGAAAAAGAGAGTCGAGCTCGTCGCACCTTAGCTCTCTTTTTATTTACTTATTTATTTTGCCTTTATAGGCCTGGAATTTGCACCCGCTTAGGCAGTCAGGCGGTGCAAGTCTTTTCTTGGTAGCCGTTGGTTCATACGATCATCATTTGGTTTTCTTTTTTTTCTTTTTTTTTTTTAATTCAATTTTTTTGGTTAAGTTGATTGAAGAAAATAATATTAGTATAATTTTTGAGAACATTCTACTTAAGTATCTATTGTAAATGTGTTCTACTATATTAGTGTTCTATTTAAAAGTTAAATATTGAAAATGTAAGTTTATATAAAATGAAAAGTGAACTTTTTATATTATTATCCACTATACATGCTCTTATATTAATACATCCCGAATTTATTAAAGTAAAAAAAAATTAAAGTTATTTTAACTTAGAATTAATTGATAATTTGCAAGATAATTTGATTGTCATGTTAACTAATGTTGCAATTCTTTTTTTCTTTTTTTTGGAATGGACGTTGGGGATAGGCGAATGCTGCATCTGGAATGGCGGTCCATGACGACTGTAAGCTTAAGTTCTTGGAGCTAAAGAAGAGGAACTTCCGATTCATAACATTCAAGATTCAGGATCAACAGGTGGTTGTAGACAAAGTGGGGAATCCTGAAGAATCCTATGAAGATTTCACTGCATCCCTTCCTGATAATGAGTGCCGCTATGCTGTCTATGATTTTGACTTCACCACAAATGAGAACTGCCAGAAAAGCAAAATCTTCTTCATTGCCTGGTAATTTGATTAATTTCCATCAATACTTGCTAATATAAAATGCGATGTTTGGACTTGATATATATAGTTGCTAATTAAAAAAAAAAAAAAGTAAAGTAGCAGTTATATTTTGTTGTAGGGCACCTGATATATCAAAGGTGAGGAATAAGATGGTGTATGCGAGCTCCAAGGACAGATTCAAGAGGGAGTTAGATGGAATTCAAGTGGAGTTGCAGGCAACCGATCCAAGTGAAATGAGCCTTGACATTGTAAAAGCTCGGGCACTCTAAAATGACGCCATCGCTTTTCTTCTTCATGGAATGTTCACCCTATGAGTGTTGTTTATTTGTATTCTTAATATTTTTTTTCGTTAAATATATCCCTCCTTTAACTTTTATCGGATGGGTTTTACACTTAAACCATGTAGTTTAATTAGTGTAATATTATGGATCCTTTAATGTTAAGGGTTTTACAATCCCTATAGACATTGTTATAATCGGTTGATATAATTTATCTAACACCTTTATAACTTGTTTGAATGATAGCATAAATATAACCAAAAAAAAAAAAAAATGGTGTGCAGTTACAGCATTTTTTACAATTAAAATAGAAGTGGGCTTGTTATCATGGGGTCCATTCATTATCTAATAATGCCCAATAGAGGCAGGCTGAAAAATCTGCAACCAAAAAAATTTTGAAAACCGATAAAAACATAATCAATAGGTAAGATTTGATTGGCTTTTGAGTTTATTTAATTAAAAATCAAATTGAATTGATTTTAAATGGTTTAGATTTTGATTGCTAAGTCTAAAAGTAAAAAAAAAAACCGATGATTAAAGTGAATATAACCAAAAAAATCCAACTTAAAAACCTTTTATATACATTTCTGAATAGTTTCTAAA